TCTCTCTCTCTCTCTCTCTCTCTCTCTCTGTCTGTCGGTCTGTCTGTCAGTCGGTCTTGTCTGTTTTCTAATATATTCTTTATGTTTAGCTTAATATGCTTAATCATATGTCTTTTTTTTACTTTTTTCTCATAGGGAAATCTGTCATTCGGGGACCCAAAATTAGTGATTATTTTGATGTGAGTATCTGTCAGTAATTTGAGGGGAAGCTAATGAAAGCATATGATAAATCATCGACCTAATGAAAGCGTAACTGATATATAGAGATTGCAGCTTGGATGATGTTGTTTTAAAAACGTGAAATCATATTTGCAGCACAGTTAGCGTAACATTTTCAAGCAAAACAGAAAATTTGCATGGAAATAATGTAGGGTGGACTTAATTTGAATTGTGATGTGATTGGATAGTGAAGAGTATTATTTTTTATAAATAAATATAATTAAGAATATATTCCCACCAGGCATTATTGGTTACATCAGTCATTTCAGAGGTGGTGCAACATTTTACATTGATGAAAGGTTTTTCAGACATAAGTTTTTTTTTACAGAGAGAGCCATACTCCGTAAACTACTGTTTAATAAAAAGAAAAAAAGAAGCAATTTTCAACTTTTTTTTTCAAGCTGCTGTACCAAAAACATACTGAACCTTGACGTCAAAGGCAAGTTGCACGCTGAATAGGGCTGGGCAAAAAAAATCGTTTTTTCGATTAATAGTTTTTTTTAAATGACGTCGATGCGATATCGATACTCAAAAGCCGCGAATCGATCTTTTCCAGGATTTATTTCAGCACACATTTAAAATAAGACCTGATTAACGTGAATCTTATCATTAGTCTTCTCCACTAGATGTCACCCTTATTTACCTTGCGCGATGTTACAACAGAAAGCCAGAAAGCCTGTCATTCATTCAGCGCTTATCATGGCCATACGCGTGATTCGCAATGCTCAGGTGAAGTGCTATAGTAATACTATACATCCTGAACATTTTTGAGTACCTTTACACCACTAGTGCATGTTTCCTACTACAATATGTGCAGCAGCATTTGATCAAAACATTTTTTTGACCACATTTACACCTTTATTTAGCACAGACCACTTATGATCGGGTCATCCGAGACTATGCTAATGCTCTGCCTTATTTCAGTAATTGTTTATCATGATCAAACATGTCTGAAACGCAAACGCTCCATACACAACTGACATTCTCATCCAAGAACACACACACACACACACGTACGTCACAACAACACTCGTCTATATTCCCACAATACAAACTGCCTGTGCGTGCCTCTCATTACTACACAGTTACTACAGCATTACTGCACAGTCTAATGTTGTACAATGCTGTTTCAGACCCGGCAGAGCAGCTCGTCTCCCACCAGTCTGTGTTTTGGCGACTCTTTGGTTTCTTCTAGACAGATGGCGGTCAAGAGTGTTCAGGTGGGACTTGTGCATAAGTGCACTTACATTTATATAAATAACAAGAGTCTCATTAGCAGTAGTTTTAGAACAATCAATCAATTAATTAATCAATTATCACGTTAACTTATTTTGCTGGTATTTTTTAAGAGCCAAAATTGTTGGTTGTGGCATAAATTAGGGCAAAGATATTTATATATATATTTATTTTTGTTTTTTTGGTTGTCACAAATGTATTGAGTTTGAATATTTATAAGAAATGAGTCTAGGATAATGATAAAACAATAAAATGTACACATTTTAGACAAAGAAAAAGAAAGTAGCACAAATAAATGATTAATGCATGGTAAAAGGTTTCCATGACTGTTTTAATGGAGTTTTCACATAACAAAAAAAGAAAAGGGAAATGTTTTGACAACAAATGAAGCCCTGCAACTTGAAATGACTGTATTTGAAGAATATCAATCATGAATAAGTTGTTGAGTTGTGTGTGTGTGTGTGTTTGTGTCTTGCTCCTCCTGTAGACTGCCCTGACGGTGGTGAAACTGGCCGCTATAGAGAGCAATAAAAACTTGGACCTGGAGAAGAAGGAGGGCAGGATAGACGATCTGCTGCGGGTGAGAAAAGAGATGAGGAGGAGGACAATTAATCATAATCATTTCTATTAATTCAAATGAATAATGTATCAGACTATTCATGATATTGTTAAATATATATTATTTATTCGTTAAACTCTTTAAATCTTTTGAGTGACTAGAGTGCATTTTCATTATGTATAGACTTACAGAATCTGATTTGCTGCCAATTTTAGTTACATCAGACTTGGTGTAACCCTAACTTTGTTGTTATTTTTCATAATATATTTAAAGTTTCTTTCTCTTTCCTGCAGGCAAACTGTGATCTTAGGAGACAAATTGATGAGCAGCAAAAGCTTCTAGAAAAGTACAAAGAACGTTTAAACATGTGCATCACGATGAGCAAAAAACTTCTGATTGAGAAGGTGAAGATTTCAGAAGTTTTAGTTTTAGCTGTTGGTTGGTTGGTTGTATAAAAAATACCCAGTGCTTCAGTATAAGGGTCATCATTTAACCACAAGCTTTAATAGTTTCAACACCGTAACACCGTAAGCGATTCAGATCTTTATAAAGGTGTGTGTATTTGTCCAGAGCACACAGGAGAAGCAGGCGTGTCGGGAGAAGAGCATGCAGGATCGACTGCGTTTGGGTCATTTCACCACTGTGAGACGCGGAGCCTCGTTTACAGAGCAGTGGACAGACGGCTACGCCTTCCAGAACCTCGTCAAGTAAGACGCTTAATGAAGCCCAAAGTAGACTTCTGTATTTGCACATGCAGTCCTCTATAGCCTTTCAAAGTAAACACTATTCTGCATGTGTGAACATTACGATAACTTGACTTGTAAAATACATTGGACTAAAGTCCCTTAACAGTTATGTCTTTCTTTAATCAAATGTTCACCCATCAATGGTAGGATCTATAAGTGAGTGCATTACAGATTTGCCTGTATGAGCAGTTATTCATCGACTGTTTTTCTGCAGACAGCAGGAATGGATCATTCAACAACGGGAAGAAATCGAGAGACAGCGGAAACTGTTAGCTAAGAGAAAACCCCCATCAGCCAGCAGCTCACAGTCGCCCAGCACCAACTCTGAACCCAAACCACGCAAGACCAAGGCTGTGAATGGTTCCGAGAACGACCCTTTCCTCAAACCCAGCCTTCCTCAGCTGTGAGTGCTGCTAAAAGCTGCAGTAGAGTTATTAGAATTCAGCATCACTAACATTCACAAATAACTGATTTCATTTGCCAGAAAATCCTAGAGAAGATCTTTAAGCTGGAAGTCAAAATGTTAGACTCACTTGAATGACATGTTTCTGATGAATTGCAGGACATGATTTATTAGGAAGCCAGATGATCATTTTAGATGATGTTTCTTTCCACTCTATGGAAAAATAACTTTTTATCTGCTACGACACAAGTCTCTAAGGAGCCAGTGTGGAGAAATGGCATCAGCTCCTTCAGAATTGAGATTGTTTTTCACTCTTCCTAGCCCACTGCATGCATGGAGGTTTTTTATCTCTTTCCTCTGATGTTCCTGCAGGCTAACTTTAGCGGAGTACCATGAGCAGGAGGAGATCTTCAAACTGAGACTCGGCCATCTCAAAAAGGTCAGTGGCTCCTGTATGATTTAGATCTTCGTGCATTTCAGAACATGTAAAAACAATAAAAAGAAGTCTTTGTTTCTGCAGAAGTACTCCAAAGAACAGCATATACTTTTGTAACATTATGAATGTCTTTACTGTTACTTTTGATCAATTTAATGTCTTAAAAGTATTAATTTCTTTAAAAAAAAAAAAAAAACTGCATCCTTACCCGTTGCTTTCTATCCACTTTCTAATTTCCCTATGGCAGAAGTGGCAGAATACACCACAGTATGATTTTATAAATGTTTTCTTCATGTGTTTGTGCATTTGTAGGAGGAGGCAGAGATTCAGGCAGAGCTGGAGAGGTTGGAGAGGGTGCGAAATCTTCACATCCGAGAGTTGAAAAGAATAAACAATGAAGACAGTTCACAGTATGTACCCACGCTACGATGACATCAGCCTCTGATCTTTTTCATTTTCATTTTATTTTGTGTTGTTTGTACTGGACATTGACTACTCATATTTACGGTGCTCCCATGAGTGTACTGATTGTAAAGGGTCCATGTTCTACACATTTGTGACCCTGGAGCACAAAACCAGTTTTAAGTCGCTGGGGTATATTTGTAGCAATAGCCAAAAATACATTGTATGGGTCAAAATTATAGATTTTTCTTTTATGCCAAAAATCATTAGGATATTAAGTAAAGATCATGTTCCATGAAGATATTTTGTAAATGTCCTAACGTAAATATATCAAAAGGTAATTTTTGATTAGTAATATGCATTGCTAAGTACTTCATTTGGACAACTTTAAAGGTGATTTTCTCAATATTTCGATTTTTTTTGCACCCTCAGATTCCAGATTGTTAAATATTGTCCGATCCTAACAAAACCATACATCAATGCAAAGCTTATTTATTCAGCTTTCAGATGATGCATAAATCTCAATTTCAAAAAATTTACCCTTATGACTGGTTTTGTGGTCCAGGGTCACATTTACAGTATATGTTGTCTATATATATACAGTGGGTACGGAAAGTATTCAGACCCCCTTAAATATTTCACTCTTTGTTATATTGCAGCCATTTGCTAAAATCATTTAAGTATTTTTTTTTTCCTCATTAATGTACACACAGCACCCCATATTGACAGAAAAAAGAAATGACAACAAAAAGTGCTCCTCCACACTGACAAAACTCACGTTTGAATCATCAGTGGCAAATCCTTTAAATGAAAACGTACTTACGTGAGTCAGAACTGCCGGCATTTTAGTCTAACGTTACTCTCCCAGGATCAGTAAACAGTCCTCCATAAAATGAGCTGCACACATCCGGATATTTGGGTTAAAATGTTCTGGAACAGTGTTGTAAATACAACTTAACCACTGATTTGTAGTCGTGTCCTCTTTTGGAAGACCAAACTAAGTAGTTTTGCTTTCACAACGAAAAACAAAGCAGCCTAGCGTGAGCAGAAGCCCCGGCTTAGCGTGTGCTGAGGCCAGGATAGAGTGAGCTGAGGCGGTGGGGTTGAGAACGGCGTGGCCGGCGGATCCGACGAAGGAGCAGCAACCACATGTGACGATCCCGGGCTTCATCCACGGTGATAGCCGATCCGGCGATCCACAGCGCTAAGTTTATGTATTTCCTCAGCGACCAGCACAGATCAGCTCTAGGCATGACGAAGCGGATATCGTCCTCTTTTGGAAGACCAAACAAAGTAGTTTCGCTTTCACAACGAAGCACACAGCGCCTTCACGACATGGCAGAAAGCGGCACCAATACTACAGCGAGAATAAAAGTTACTTCTTTCTTTGCTAGAACATTTGGGCGGCATTATGCAAATCTTCCCACGCAGTGAGGTAGACATGTGGGGGCGTGTTAGAACGAGCCATTTTAGGTAGGCGTGGTTGACTCTGAACTTTTATAAAGAATATCTCTTTGGATTTGAGACTTTAGTCTTTGCAACTTTACAGATCTTCTTTATGCACCAAGAGCTTGTAACACTCCAAAGAGAAAGGACAAATTGAAAACGCATCATATGACCCCTTTAAATGTTTGAAAAGTTTTGTAGACACACGAGTTGTATATGAATAAATTAACATAAAATAAAATAAACAGCATGGTAGGACATGATTTATTAGTAGCAAAATGTTACTAACGTTTTGTCTGCTACAACACACAAGTCTGTAAGTGAGCATTGTGGAGAAATTGCATCAGCTCCTTCAGAATCATGTGATTGCTTCCTACTCTTTGACAGTCAGATCATCCTAGCCCAGTGCATGCATGGAGGTTTTTTAATCCTGTTCCTCTGATGCTCCTGCAGGCTAACTTTAGCGGAGTACCATGAGCAGGAGGAGATCTTCAAACTGAGACTCGGTCATCTCAAAAAGGTCAGTGCACAAGCTCAGTGGCTCCTGTGTGATTTCAGAAGATGTAAAAACCATTGAAAAAGGGAAGGTGATGTCTGTCTTCGTTTCCGCAGAAGTACTCCAAAGAACAGCATATGCTTTTGTAACATTATGAACATCTTTACTGTTACTTTTGATCAATTTAATGTGTCTTTGCTTAATAAAAGTATTAATTTCTTTCAAAAAAGATAGTGCTCATCAGCTTTACCCACTGTTTTCTGTCCTCCTTATCTCTTCCATCAGTAGAAGTGGCAGAACATGCCACCATATGTTTTTATATAAATAAAATATATAAATGTATGTTTTTGTTTGTGTATTTGTAGGAGGAGGCAGAGATTCAGGCAGAGCTGGAGAGGTTGGAGAGGGTGCGAAATCTTCACATCCGAGAGCTGAAAAGAATAAACAATGAAGACAGCTCGCAGTATGTACACACACACTGTGATGAACTCAGCCTCTGATATTTCTTTCTTTTTCACACGAGTTTACTGACTGTAAAAGGTCCATATTCTACACATTTGTAGCATTTTATATAATGTTTTCTGCTTGTTTGTTTTTACCAAAAACATGATTTAGTTTTATATGATTATTTTCCACCCACCCTCCCCTTTTCTCCTGTTTCTCTTTGTTTTTTTTTGTATCGTTTTAATCTTTCTCAGATTCAAGGACCATCCCACCCTGAATGAGCGCTACCTGCTGCTACATCTGCTGGGTCGAGGTGGTTTCAGTGAGGTCTACAAGGTATCTTCACCCCTCATTTATAACAGAGCCTGATATAAGCTGACCTTTGAGAAAGAAACGGGTTATTTGATTCATTATTCTGCTCTTCAGGCGTTTGACTTAATTGAGCAACGCTACGCCGCTGTGAAGATTCATCAGCTCAACAAAAACTGGAGAGAGGAGAAGAAAGAAAACTACCACAAGTGTGTTCCTCCTCTTTGATGCTATTCAAGGAAATGTTCATACATCTGTGGCCTGCTGCCAATCAACCCCAATTAATTCGATTTCAGATTTGCACTCGAACTTAATATACAGGGTAGACATTATTGTCAACAACATGCTGCTAAGGGAGCTGTATTTAACCATGAAAATTCTGTTAAGCTTAAATCAGCTCTCTCTTTTTTTTTTTTTTTATATATGTGCTTGATATGTAGCATAGGCATGCAGGCTCATATTGCAGTGTGGGGACATTGTTATGTAAGGCTGTATTTCCATGCCAATTGGTATTCGGTACAGAGCTTGAAATGTCTGGAAATCTCGTCCGTCTTTCTCTCATGACGCTGGCCGTCTGGGTCTCTCATGGTAACCTGTGCCTCTCTTCTCTGCAGACACGCCTGTCGGGAATACCGAATACATAAACAGTTGGATCATCCCAGAATAGTTAAACTGTACGATTACTTTTCACTGGACACAGACACGTGAGTTCCAGCCCTGCAGATTTCACCGACCAATCAGAGCGCATCCGTGAGACGGACGCACGTTACATGAAGGGTGTCTGTTTCTTGCAGGTTCTGTACGGTTTTGGAATACTGTGAAGGAAATGATCTGGATTTCTACTTGAAACAGCACAAGCTGATGTCTGAGAAAGAAGCTCGCTCTATCGTCATGCAGATTGTTAATGCTTTACGATACCTGAACGAGATCAAGCCACCCATAATACACTATGACCTCAAACCCGGTGAACACATTCTCTTAATTTACTTTTCATAACATTTAAATATGCTGGAATTTTATTTATTTTTTTGCCAGTATATATGCATGTATGTAAGCAGAGCAGTGAACCGTTTAAAAGTTTGGGCTTGGTACAGTTTTTATTTTGTTTCTTAGTTTTTTACAAAAAAAAATATAGTAAAAACAAGAATTTGTGAGAATTTATTATTTTTTTTTTGTTGTATGTAATGTATTAACATTTTCAGCATCCAGTCTTCAGTGCCACATGATCCTTCAGAAATCACTCTAATATGCTGATTTGCTGCTCAAGAAACGTTTCTTTATATCAATGTTGGAAACAGTTGCACTGCTTTATATTTTTGTGGAAACTGATACGTTTGTTCAGGGTTATTTCAACAAAGTTTAAACGAACAGCATTTATTCGATTTTTTTTTTTCTGGCTTCACTGTCAGTTTTGAACAATTTAATACAGCAAAAATTGATTTAACCTCAGTTAAACAATTCATAAGAGAATCAAGGGGATTTCCATAATTGTTCTTAAAGGGCATATCAATATGTGTCATCAGCATAAAAATGGAAAGCAATTCCATGTTTACGAAAGATTGACCCTAAAGGTAAAATATATAATGAGAATTATATCAATGTTGGAAACAGTTGCACTGCTTTATATTTTTGTGGAAACTGATACGTTTGTTCAGGGTTATTTCAACAAAGTTTAAACGAACAGCATTTATTCGATTTTTTTTTTTTTCTGGCTTCACTGTCAGTTTTGAACAATTTAATACAGCCTTGCTGAATAAATATATTATATATATTTTTTTTTAATCGTACTGACTTCAAACTTTTGAATGTAGCATATATGTTATTTTTCCACCCACCCCTGTTATGCATATCTGGAGCACAAAAGCAGTCTTAAGTCGCTGGGGTATATTTGTAGCAATAGCCAAAATTTCCTACCATAAATATATCAAAACTTCATTTTTGATTAGTAATATGCATTGCTAAGAACTTCATTTGGACAACTTTAAAGGTGATTTTCTCAATATTTCGATTTTTTTGCACCCTCAGATTCCAGATTTTCCAATAGTTGTATCTCGGCCAAATATTGTTCTCCTTTCCTAACAAACCATACACCAATGAAAAGCTTATTTATTCAGCTTTCGGATGATGTATACATCTCAATTTCGAAAAATTGACACTTAAGGTTTTTTGGCTCCCGGGTCACAAATGTGAAAGATATTGAAGATAATCCTGTATAGGGAATGTGTGTGCTTGTGTATTTATTTTTGTCTGTGTGGTTGTGTGCAGGGAATATTTTACTGGTAGATGGAAATGCATGTGGAGAGATAAAGATCACAGATTTCGGACTGTCTAAAATCATGGACGATGACAACTATGGAGTAGATGGGATGGACCTGACATCACAAGGGGCAGGCACTTACTGGTAACACGCTCACAGATACACTCACATTTTGGCCTTTGCCTTTAAAAGCGTGTAACTCAATCGTGTCTGGTTTCGACTGTAAGGTACTTACCCCCGGAGTGTTTTGTGGTGGGTAAAGAGCCTCCAAAGATCTCCAATAAGGTGGATGTCTGGTCTGTCGGTGTCATATTTTTCCAGTGCCTCTATGGAAGAAAGGTGAGAAGCAATTATCTGAATAATGGGAAGATTATCAGTAGCCTCTACAGGTTACAGTGTAAAAAGGAAATAGCTGTCATTTTCCTGATTTCTAGTACACCTGGCCGATTGCATAAACCGCTTAGACTAGTCTTAAAAAGTTAGTAATCTAATTTTTTTTCTTTAAGACTGGTCATAACTTTAAGTCGGTTATAAAAAGGGACAATGGTCTAATTTGAATCCAAAAAGTAAGTTTGATTACTTCTTGGCTAACTACTAGTTGGTCAAACAGTCTTGACGTAGTTGTTTATGCAGCTGGTCCCTGTAGAACTAAAGCTAGTTATGTTTAACCATGCAAAATTGTTTGTTTTTCTAGCCATTTGGCCATAACCAGTCCCAGCAGGACATCCTACAGGAGAACACCATCCTGAAAGCCACAGAGGTTCAGTTCCCTTCCAAACCTGTTGCCAGCAATGAGGCCAAGGTCATTTCAGAATTTCTTTGAAAAATAATCGGTGTACATTTTTTACGGCATTATAAAAAAATTACGAGTCGTTGACATGACATTTTGCATGCAGTGTGGCATGCTATACTTTGTCTAAAACAGTAGCTCTTCGAGGAATAAACAGTTGTTGAGTGGGTGAATTAAAATAAGAACCATTTTCATGTTTAGCCCATTTTAGTGCTCGTCTCATTTTTGAAGTCATTTTAGGTCATCTCGAGGATATTTGCTGACCCCCTGGTTAAGAACTATTCAGATCTAGAACTATTTTGAACAATTTTTGCAAATTCTTTATAACATTATTATGCGTGCAGTTGGTATAAGCATTAATTTAGAGACTACTTAGAATATTTGTACTTTTAATAGTTTATTGCACTGTAGGTCTATTTAAAATGATCTGGAAAAAAGCAGATTTAAAAACTTGCAAGAATATCCACTTTCCTTAAACCAAACGGGTGTCTCTTTGTAACACACCAGATTCAGATCACCGCACAGACAAACCTTCAGCATTTTAGAGAAGTTCAGTTTAGTGTGTGTGTATGTATAATATATATGTGTATATACACAGTCAAATCAAAAAATATTCAGACACCAGATATAATTTTTTATATTTTTTTACTAGGGGTTGCAGGACACTATAGTTAATTTATGAAAGTGAGGATAGCAAAATAAAGTAAACTGTGACAACATATTATATGCAAAAATTCTTCATACAGTGGACTACCAGTAAAATTGATAAACAATTTGGGACCAAAAATTATTCAGACACTTTGACCTGACCATGTTTTGCTTAAGTGTTATCTAACATTATCAAGCTGAATTTGTTCTGACACAGTTTAACTCTGAGTTCTTGTCATATTTTATTACCATGTTCTAAACTATAGCAAATAAACTGTGATAATGTGTGAAATGTTGAAGGTGACTGAATACATTTTAGTTTGACTGTATCTATAGTATGTGTGTGTATCATACATACAAGTGCATTTATTTAAAGAAGTTCATATTTAATATCATCAGCGTTAAGTTAATATTTAAACTGCATGTCAAAATGTAATATGAAAATACATATTTTATTATTATTTTATCTGATAAAGAATTGGGAACCATTGTCTTAAACACATAAATGTAAACCTGAAATACCGATGAAGAAATGTCCATGATTAGTAAAGCCCTGTTCACCAGCCCTGCCAGTCTATATAGATTATATATAATGATGATTAAACTAAGATATCGTTTTATTAGATATTGCCAGTTAGCTTTCTAATAATGTAACATTCTGCTGTTGAAAAAATGTTTATATAAACTACAGCAGTGCTAGTGCATTCAATAATTAACCAGACAAACTATCAATATACACTTTAAATTCACCCATACTGTCAAAATTTCCTAAAAATCATTTGAATTTGACACATAATCTGTTTTCTTCTCCCTAATAAGGAACATTAATATAATATTAATATAAACTGCACCAGGGCTATTCTGCTCGTTGCTTCATCAATAAATGAATCGGATTCAGTAAGACTGCGGACAGTTGCAGATAAATCATATAGAATATATATATGGTTGATATAAAGTTGAGTTGGCTCACAAACTCCAAGTCACTAGAGTTCAACCACAAGCTTGGTTAAAGTTTGAACTGTTACGAGAATGTCATAAGAAATTGCTGATAAAAAGCATATAATGCTGTTGAGGCAAAATCTCACATTTTGACATTTAGCATATTTTCTTAGAGACACTTATTATTTAGTGCAAAACCATTTTTGTGTTTGTAATAAATGGCATGTGACTGTTTCCTGCAGGCGTTCATCCGCCGGTGTCTAGCCTACAGGAAGGAGGACCGGTTTGATGTGCACCAGCTGGGAAGTGACTCCTACCTGCTGCCTCACATCAGACGGGCCAGTTCTTCAGGAGCCCTGGCACCAAACTCCAGCTCCTACTGACAGCTTGCACTGAACACTGCCTGACAGCCCGGCTGGCCAGCGGCTGATCTCCGTCCCTGGAGCAGGGCGTGACCATTTCCAGGCAGCCGGAAGGAAAAGAAGCTCAGCTTGAAGAAGTTTGTCTTGAATTCATGAGATTTGGGTTTACTGAGAAAAGTGTTTCGAAAGAGAATAAAGAAAAATAAAGCATGAACATGTAGACACACCCAGAGAATGTCACAAAGAGAAAAATAATGCCTTCTGGAGATTCGATAGGGCACAGCTACTGTTAAGTACTTTGAAATGCGACTGTTGTCATTTGGTTTTTCACATGGTTGCCTCCCAGTTCAACAAAGAGAGAGACCTGGCAAACCACTGTCAATTCCCACGGTCTCTGCTGGGTTTCCCTAAATTAAGGATTTCTTTGAAGAGCCTCCGTTCAGAGTTACTGTAACTGGCCTGCAAAGGTTGCATTCTTCACTCTGTAGTAATGTCATGTGGTACAGACGACAGTGTTAGCTTTCCTTGCTTTGTTCAACTAGCTACGAGAATGTAATTCTAGCATACCGAGCGGCTGCTGGCACACTAGGCCCAGGCAGCATACTAATGTTAAATGCACAAAAGAACCAAATGTAGACGAATGGCAGTGTACAGAATCCTATGCAGGACAAAATAAAAGTATCCCCTCTGGAGAATTCATGTATATTTGTTGTACAGGACCTTAATTTCAGATATTAACTTTCAGCAGATTCATTCTGTACAGAGGTTTAACATTTTGCCCTATTTCTTGTAAATTTTATTTCCGTGTTTTTTTTTTTGTTTCGTTTTTTGCTGCTTTGATGTTGCTCTTTTTCAAACCGCTGTATAATGTACTTTGGGTATAAATTGTACAGTCCTGTTAAAAGAATAATTGCAAATAAATGCCAGGAAGCTCCATTTAGTGTGTTGAATGACTTGCCCTTTGCCAAAAGTCGTAAGTGAAAGAAACTTGATTTAACGATCAAATTTCAGGTCATTATCAAACAAAACCCCTAGGTTTTTGACAACAGGTTTATAATAAGTGGTCAGCTCACCTAAATTGAACAGTTCAGGAAGTGCAGAATCCCCAAACCAGACAAGCTCTGTTTTACTCTCATTAAAATTGTAAAAAATTGATTTAACCTCAGTTAAACAATTCATAAGAGAATCAAGGGGATTTCCATAATTGTTCTTAAAGGGCATATCAATATGTGTCATCAGCATAAAAATGGAAAGCAATTCCATGTTTACGAAAGATTGACCCTAAAGGTAAAATATATAATGAGCACACGTCGCTTTTCAGACCGATGAGCTTTGTAAAAATCGACGCGTTTCAGAAAGGCGGGGCATAGAGGAGAAACAATAATGTACAGTATGTGGAAAATAATGTGTTTTTTGAACCTTAAACCACATAAACACATTTCATTACACCAAATACACAAAATAATGCTCTTTTTAGCAACATCATATGACCCCTTTAAGCTATGTAAAATAGTTCTGTATAATGTATTAATAGGCCTATATAGGCCTAAGATAACAAACATGCATTCAAACTTTCTATTCATATCTTACATATCAGTTTTATTTCCACCACACTGAACAAATTCGGCCCTGATTTTATCAGAGAAATAATGCGTTAATTGGGTAAAGTGTTGATAAATGGCACTGAATGCACTGTAAGCCACGATCGGCCGCTAGACGTCCAGCTGTCATAGCAGAACTAGACTAAATTAAGTGAATGCAATCCACGGTTTGAATGTACAACATGTCTGTGTCACCACCTGACTATCCATCACTCCCCTTCCTATGTGTGAATGTGACTAATAAAGTCTCATGCAGTGTTTCTCTTCCAGAGTTGCTTGTGGAAATGATGATGCTTTTCAAAGAGCTCCTATTTCAATAATAAATCTTATTTTACATAACTTATTATGCATGGATAATGATGCACTAATCATTATGAATGATTGCTGAATGAATAATCAGTGAAGTATGGTTAACACGGTATGATTTAGTAAGGACTCCCGTATGCAGAGGTTCATGTATTAACTTTGCACTGATTACACTGTGTTCTATTAAGTGATTTAGGAAGGAACAAATAGAGGAGAGAACGACAGGGAAGCAAACTGGCAGCACTCCAACCCTATTTTGTCAATACCATCACTGTTTCAACTGCAGGCTTCAGTGTTTATCAGAGGCAGAGAACAGCGAGCAGCCGCATGAGGGTGCTGGAGCACTGACTGGAGGAGATGTGTTTGAAATGAAATACGGCTTGCTGCATACTGCGCAGTACACACTTTTTTTATTTTAGCAGTATGTGCCATTATTACACTACAAACGTTGTAAACTCTACAGCAGTTTTGTCACGTGACCTCACCATATTGCCTGTTATTCAGGCAGTGGCTTTTAATTATCACAGAGGGCTACTGGCTGTTATTATAAGACAAAACATGAGCAAGTATCTATATGTAGGCCTAATACATAAATCATTGGCATAGATCTACTGGTAGTGTACAGAGATTGATTTAACTTCAAGTCAACTCAAAGTAGGCTACATTTAAGGCAAGTCATCACTCCGGTGAGGGTAAAACTTATAGAGTTCACCAAACTTTTCACCAGTTGACTATTACTGGCACATTACACTAGTACATTAAGACAATTGTTTTGTATTACAAGTTTTCTAGAACATTATGTTTAAATTATGCATTATGTAACTAGGCACTACTGTACATTTTAAAAACACCACCACCAAGAGTGCGACACTCTTCCATTTGGTCACTCAGAGTGACAGAGGAGACTGAGGAAAGAGAGGCTGGATGTAGGATGAGATCCGTAGATCCGGAGTCTCTTTTCCTTGTCTGAGATACAGCAATGGTCTTAGATGGTAATACCGTAATAGTGAATCAGTACCATATTCTAGTAACTGTATTTATACTCAAGGCATTCAAAGAATATCATGGTACTTTTATGCTACTGTAAAAAAAAAAAAGAAGACATTAAATGTAAAGAGGTCTCACAGCAATCTATTTTGGTTTGGACGGTTGTCTTATGCAATGGCAAAAGTGTGTGTGTGTGTGCAAGTTGCCTTGTGTATATATATATATGGCGTGTTAAGGCAAAGCAGACGGCTGGTTTTCTCAGTCTACTGCCCACAGTCTGCACAGCACACCTGAGACGTGACTGTGTGTGTGTGTGTGTGCAAGTTGCCTTGTGTATATATATATATGGCGTGTTAAGGCAAAGCAGACGGCTGGTTTTCTCAGTCTACTGCCCACAGTCTGCACAGCACACCTGAGACGTGACTGTGTGTGTGTGTGTGTGCAAGTTGCCTTGTGTATATATATATATGGCGTGTTAAGGCAAAGCAGACGGCTGGTTTTCTCAGTCTACTGCCCACAGTCTGCACAGCACACCTGAGACGTGACTGTGTGTGTGTGTGTGTGCAAGTTGCCTTGTGTATATATATATATGGCGTGTTAAGGCAAAGCAGACGGCTGGTTTTCTCAGTCTACTGCCCACAGTCTGCACAGCACACCTGAGACGTGACTGTGTGTGTGTGTGTGTGCAAGTTGCCTTGTGTATATATATATATGGCGTGTTAAGGCAAAGCAGACGGCTGGTTTTCTCAGTCTACTGCCCACAGTCTGCACAGCACACCTGAGACGTGACTGTGTGTGTGTGTGTGTGCAAGTTGCCTTGTGTATATATATATATGGCGTGTTAAGGCAAAGCAGACGGCTGGTTTTCTCAGTCTACTGCCCACAGTCTGCACAGCACACCTGAGACGTGACTGTGTGTGTGTGTGTGTGCAAGTTGCCTTGTGTATATATATATATGGCGTGTTAAGGCAAAGCAGACGGCTGGTTTTCTCAGTCTACTGCCCACAGTCTGCACAGCACACCTGAGACGTGACTGTGTGTGTGTGTGTGTGCAAGTTGCCTTGTGTATATATATATATGGCGTGTTAAGGCAAAGCAGACGGCTGGTTTTCTCAGTCTACTGCCCACAGTCTGCACAGCACACCTGAGACGTGACTGTGTGTGTGTGTGTGTGTGTGTGCAAGTTGCCTTGTGTATATATATATATGGCGTGTTAAGGCAAAGCAGACGGCTGGTTTTCTCAGTCTACTGCCCACAGTCTGCACAGCACACCTGAGACGTGACTGTGTGTGTGTGTGTGTGTGTGTGTGAAGAGAGCCAAGCTTATTCTTTCCAATGCAGCTCTAAGTTTAATAATGCTTGTAATTGGAATGGATGGGTGCAGAAGAGCTCTGCTAAGACTGTGAAGCTAATAGGAGTAAGTGAGAGCGCTTTTGGCTGCAATCCACACGGCTTTTCCCTTTGACATTATGGGAAAATGACATTTACAGGTATCAGTGGAATCTCAAACAGTAAGGGAACTAGTAGATAAATGAAGAGTTTTAATAAAAGATAATTAATAAAGAGTTATTTGACGGTACATACACCATTAATCTAAACAATACATGTTAACCCTATATCTTTATGGTTATTTTATGGCATCACTGTAAAAAAAAAAAAAACCTTTTGCATTAATGCATTTAGCAGACACTTTTGTCCAAAGAATCAAAGAGTAACATAGCAATCAAAGAGCCAACAATATTCATAATACACAATGCCCGGTTTATTATACAACTAAAATAGGAACCTTTATTTTTAAAAGAGTAATGCTTTTCCATGTCCTGAGCAATTGTGCAATGTCACACCGTTTCAGGCCGCAGGATGAAACTCATTTTGAAATGCAAAAAAAAAGAAAAAAGAAATATACCTTTCTCCCGCATTACCCCAACCCAGATAAAAGGTGTTCAGCCAGCAGAACGCTGACATTGGCTCCCCACAGGCTGCCTTTGCTTATGAAAGAGAACAAGCCCTGATGGATTTTCTGATAAATATCTTTAAAGAGGTAAATAATGAGCAAACCTGCTCCCACAGAGGACTGGAAACACTTCACTGCTGTGATCACTCAGTAAAACTCCTGCTCGGGGTTATTCATGTGAGAAACGAGGAGTGACAGAGGAGACTGAGGAACGAGAGGCTGGATGAGATCCGGAGATTTCCCTGTCCTCAGGCAAAACACTTTCATCTACGGCAAAGGGCTTTCTTGAAAAACTGTCTGAAATCTGCCACAAGAAGCTTTTTGGGTAAGGTAATGGTGCGTTTTGTAGTGATTGCATTTCGATTAGAGAGCTGCATTTAATGCTGCAGCTGCGTCTCAACATTATATCCAATGGCTGTGAAATTCACAGATAATCCCTGTGAAATGGGCTGGAACATGGAAATTCAGCAGCTTATGGAGTCTAAAGAGTGTGGGCTCGAATGACGACTCGTCTTTTTCTTCAGAGAAAACCATTATAACAGCATTTATGTCTGATCTGAGACATTCAAGGAAAAGTTCACCCAAAAACGAAGATTTGCTATTAATCTTTGCTATTAAGTGAATGGGTGCCGTCAGAATGAGAGTCCAAACAGCTGATAAAAACATCACAATAATCCACAAGTGAAATGAACTCATCCTCAAGCCATCCAAAAGATGTAGATGAGATGTTTCTTCATCTGAACACACTTGCAGAAATGTAGCATTCCATCACTTGCTCACCAATGGATCAACAGGGGATGGACTTTATTATTATTATTATTATTGTTTTTATGTATTTATTACATATTATGGACTCATATTTTGGCCAGAGGTGACAGTTTAAAGTTAAAATGCTTTAATGATGGATATTGGCTTCTCAAGATGTTAACTGTGGTGTGGATTATTGTGATGTTTTTATCAGCTGTTTGGACTCTCATTCTGACGGCACCCATTCACTGCAGTGGATCCATCGGTGAGCAAGTGATGCTACATTTCTCCAAATCTGTTCCCATGAAGAAACAAACTCATCTACATCTTGGACGGTCT